TAGTATATAAAAAATTATCGTTATATCTACATCTAGACGTTATAATTTATTAAAACGAAACATCGCTGATAGTGAACCTATTTCATAACTGACTGAATACGAATCTTCAGTCTGTCGAAAGCTAATGAAGCTGAACTAGCAACGCCCGAGAAAAGAAGAAATTACTTCATTAAATACGATAACATTGACAATGTTTTTTTCTTTTTTTTTTGTTGCCTTTATATAGAAATAATTGAAGCAAATCAATAATGGCATGAAAGACATGTTGGAAAAATAAATTATAAATAAAGATTATTATAGACTTTATAATAATGTCACGAATAAAATGTTAAAGCAAGGTAACTAATAAGATGTTCATTAAAGATACAATCTGCCAAGTATCACAAGCATGTAATCAGTGCACAAATAAATTCGTTCCGTCTTGAGATAACACTTAACTTTATTTAAAATACACTTTTTAGATAGCTTGATAATCGAAATATACGCCATCATTATCTACGGTTCCATTTTCCCATTTATCGCGACTTATGGATGGATTTATAACGACTTATGGATGGCCTCGCGGTAAAAACTGGCCGGTTTTGAGACACATTTTTACGCATTTTTTCAACTTCTGTGAATCTACAGCCTGATGAATATCACTACATCGATCCAGGTCTGGAGAATACACGTGATATGGTAAAGCTTGCCAGCCTCATCTGAAAATTATTTCCCTGGTTGCTTTTGCCGCAATACGAACGGGTATATGCGAATTTGCTCGATTTCAAAAGTAACAACTTATGCAAGAAATCTCAAAAACCATTTTCTAGTACTCTCGTAGCTGACTGCATTTTCACTCCCAGCTTGCTTAACCATAGTGCATACTTCCGGATGTTACAAGACGAGTGATAAAATTACTACAAGTCCCTTCTTTCCTCTTTCTTCTTTAACGTAACGAATAAATTCGGCGATGTCCCCTGTACGTGTAAAAATACGGCTTCTTTAACCCTAACCGTACCCCTTTTTTTTATAATTCTGTCACTTATGAGAATTATTAGGAACAATTAAAATGTTATTCTTTTTGTTTACAGTTTAATTATATATACAAAGAATTCATACAGTATAATACACAGACCATATACTTTTTGATTTCGAATTATGTGAAAAGAAGAAAACCCGTCAAGCAAGCTCCGCATAAACTTTGACGTAATTTATTGCGTGTAAAGAAATTATTATAGACGATACTGTGGGTTCTGCTCTGAAATGTTCTGAAATGATACACAGTTCTTCAAAGTATGCCTATTCCAAACTTTGTCCTCATTTGTGCCGTTACTCTCCAAGGTACGGGATTACTCTCCGACCGTGAGACTTTGAGACACAGCTTCATAGAACGGCATGTGACTAAATCCAAAATCCAATGTTTAAAAAGAAATAGTTTTCGAGATACAATGAGACACGAAAGTTCACTGTGGTGTGAGTAGGGTTAAATTAACGAAACATTCGCCTCCGTACAATTTTTTCTAAATCAATTCTTACTCATATATAAACTTTATTAGAAACGGTATTTTTTTTTCTTGTCTGTTTGCAAATCACATGAATTTCTTACTCATCCTCGATGAGAGTGATTTTCACGTCATTAGTTTAACTTTGAAACTGTGAATAAGTAAAATAACCGGAAAGGTAATCTAATTAATAATTGTAAAATTTAAAAGCCTTCATTCACTTTGATGTTAACTGTAGGTTAGGCTGCTAATTATTTAACTATCACACTACTAATGATTTATCGAAATATATGCAATAAATACATTCCGTATAAGAGATGTGTGTATGAAATTTAACATATCCATTGTTATTAGTAGAAAGATTATTATTTTTATACCTCATTATCCGACTTTCAAGTAATATAATGTTGCGTAATAAGGGGAAGAAATAAGAAAAACACTTTCAGTTTTGAAAAAAAAAAATTGAAAAGTTGATTAGTTTGTACAAACTCGATATTCGGATATATATAATTTGTTTTTTTTGATTGCATTATTCATTAACGGAATTATTAACATTCAGCTAAGGTCTCATAATTACATATCAATCGTAGTTTCTAAAATTATAGTATTTTTTAGTGCCATTGTTTCAATATATATACGAGCTGGCTCTCAGACAATAGTTGATCATCTCTCTGCCATCATTAGCGTTAGATCAAGTCTTTGTACTTTGCGTTTCCTTTCATTCAAGACTTATATTCAATTTTGTTTTTCTTAAATCAATATTAACTTTTATATGTGTGTGAGTGTATGAGTAAGCCTAATTATTATTATCATCAATATAATACGATTTTGAAGCAAAAGTTATTAGTAATACTTATGAATGGAAAGATATATTGATTTAAACGTTGAGAGTAATGCACATTATTGCAATAAATTCTCTAATACAGATGTAAGAAAATACATCGATGTAGCCTTAAGTAATTTTATATATATATATACGTTTTCAATGATTTTATTGTTCCGTTTTAATTTCTTTTCTAAGAAAATCTCAGCGACAATGGGAATTTAATTAAAAACATTTAGACTACATTCAAGTCCATCAATTTATTTTTGCTTAAAACCTGTAAAGCAAAATTTTCCGAGAATTTCTTTACCTATACATGTCTCGCATATCAACATTTATTTACACTAAGGCAAACGTATCGGTTAATGCCGATGAGTCAACATTTAAAACCATATTTCTTTAGTTACTATGTTTATCAATCAATCTCTTTTCTTCTGTCTTTCACTTATTCCTTCTAAATATTCATACGTCATCCTTGCCTTAATAATATTAAATATAATATGGGAGATGCGTATGAATAATTTTTATCATTCCACTTGCAACACTCAACGCAACTAAAGTCAAGTCAATTCAACGCATCGGAGTAAAGATTTTCCAGCTAAGGGATGCCGAAAAGTCTCTTAATACTCAACTGTTTCTGCTTCCATTCAACATTGATGTCACGACAAGCAGCTTATAAGAATATTTTCATATCTTACGAATCGTTGCCTGGATTTACCAGGATGCTCTTCGAAGAGAGTTTAATTAAGGCAAAGTAAAAAACTTCATAATCACAGTTTTCCTCAATGTGATTACGCCCACTAGAGTTCTACTAAGAAGTAGGTAGCAAATCCATTAAGATCATCTTCTGCAGAGAACCACACAAATCCTAGCCGAATATATTTGCTTTGGCATTTTAAGGAAGGCTGACGCCTTTCCTTTCCCTTTAATCACATTTGTGAAAAAGCAGGCAATCATCAGGCCAGGTTGTAGCAATTCATTATGCATAATTCGCTTCTAATCTCGTCTGACGTTAATCTTTGCCACCTTGGACCACGGACTTTTTTGCACATTATTGTATTATCTGATCCACTTTTGAGTAACTTACGCTTCCACCGCGATTGGCAGATGGATTTAATGTCTACTTCGGCCGCGATAGTTTACGATAAAATGGGCAGGTCTCCCTTTATGTTCTGAAAGATTTCATCGACCTTATCAATGAGCGTTCAATAAGCAAACTTGCCTTACAGACACCAAACTAATGAAAGTCCACGTATTCACTTACTATGAATCTTTTCCATTTCATTATCAACTCAATTGTGCATATCATTCCTGTTTTATAAATTTTTAGCGAATATTATAACCATTTGAAAGAGCAAGGACAATGGCAGAGAAATCCTTACTATCAATACAGGCGGAAAAGTACCTTAGGTTTTTTTCTACACGATGATTAACAGATGAAATTTTTGCTTTTCTTCAGATTTCATTAGTTAACTGTGTATAACGATTATACTCGTCGTTTTGTCTTATGGCAAATATATACATCACAATCCGTCCCTCCGTCCTTGCAAGATATCTTCATAAAATTCTATCATTGCGAACATGTATCGTAGAAAATGTTTTTCTCACTTTACCCATTCTGTGAGGAGTATATTCGCCTTCGTTGACCTTTTGAAATGCAATTTAAGTGCACATTTTCGGGATAGTTAACTGCTTAGCGATAAACTGAAATATTTCCTCCCTAATAGACCTTAAACAAAGTTTATATTTTTATTTATCACAATCATTTCGCCGGTCTTTTGGTTTATACGGCGTCTGTTGGGTAAAGCTTGCAAAGAAAAATCAAAATTTGCTTTCTATTCATTCATGGGCCAGTTTTCAAAATGGGGAAATTAGGATAGACTAATCCTAAATATTTGACTAGAAATGCCTTAAAGTAAACCGATTGCATATTTAGTTAAAGTATTTGTAAAAGTCCAGGTTAAAGTTCAGGGTAAAAGAGATATAGTGATATATGCAAAATTAACACGGCTTGGCCTCAAACAAGAGCAATTTCCTTTCTTTATTTCTTGTGAATTAAAGCTATGTTTAACCACACTGTATACGGCAGGGTAACGAAGAGAGAGAACTACAAATCAAGTTGAAAGTTCAAAAAGATTGATCTACAAATTTGTTTTGAGCATTTGAGCCTTTACCGTCCAGATTGTGAATTACATTTTCATATATATTGTATATTTACTTCAATTGTTGCATGAAAAAAAAAAAACAAAAAAAATTTGTGAATCACAAACCGGACATGAGAGACAAGTTTATTTTTACCGGTAGCGGATATAAAACAAAACACTTCCTTGAATATAGTATGTAAGGGTTAGAAAAACAGGTCCTTTCGCAATGTATTCATTTACTATATATATATATATATATATTTTTTTTTTTTTTTTTTCAATATTTTTGAGACAATACTTTTAGATCGACCTTTAAGGGATAATCTTTAAGCAAAGTTAAAAAGCAACTTAAATCACATCAGATACACATTTATGTCGTCTGGCATTTGCAATCTTGCAAAAGATGTTTACAGTTCTAATATGTGTATATAGTAACTCAAAAGGCGGCATGTGAATGGTGCGTTGGTAGCTATGCCGAAAAGTGAGATATGCAAACTCCAATTATTTTAATTAAAAGTTTTAGTTACTATATAATAATGTTAATTATGTTACCTTTTCTCGTCCTTTGACTTTGTTGTTTATCCCTGGATCCCGTAAACTTTATTTTCTGATATAATCCAGTTAAAAATTATTTCCAAAAATATGTGAAACTATAATTTTTTTCACTTTTTCACTTTAATACATATACATGCATATATATATTTATATAAATATGTATATATATATATATTCTATATATTGCAACGTTTACCAACACTATTACAAAATTGTTGTAGATATGTTTTCTTCTTTCTTTTTTTTTTTTTTTTTGTATATATCTGTATCTATCTGCATGTATCTGTGTTTATATGTATATATAACTTCTTTACCATAGCATAGGTTAAAGGATATATATGATGCTGATGCTGATGCTGCTAACGCACTCGTGTATTTTTCAATGTAATTTTTACTCTCTCTGCAACTCCTATTAAAGTGGTGTTTTTCAAATTATATTCTCTCACTAAAGCATACACTCGCAAAGTTACAACCACTCGTTTTATTGATGCATGCACATATATGCAAATATATATATATGTACATATTACATCAGGATGATAATCTGAACGTACAGCCAGCCAGGTATAAACATTCACATGAAAATCAGACGTTTATTATAGTCAAAAGGAGATGGATTTCATACATCCACAATACAATAGAAATAAAATCATTAACACATACACAACATTTACTATATG